AACACAGTTGGTACTCTACCTACACCCTTTTGGAATTCACCATTACCACACACAATGATCCAATGGCTTTCAATGGAAATATCCGCAACTCTCTCAGGCGAGCTTGTCTAGGTGCCAATTCCCAAACAGCTCATGTACAGGGCAGATCAGAGAGTCAGAGGTCAGTGCCGTCCACACACAGCCCTCAACCAAGGAGCTGGTGGGTACTCCATTTACCTTGCCTCTTGACTGGGATATCTTTGAGGTGTGTTCTATACTAGAGTCACCTAGAGCTATGCAGCAGGATTTAACCTGAGTTAATGACAGTGATAACCTATTAGATAACACACCATGTATTGACTTCTTTCTCTTTCCTGTCTCATTTCTTCAGACCTCCCCCCCACACACACACACTTCCTGGTTCACATAAACCATGTGCACTCAGATCTTTGACCTAAGAAAGGTTCGTTTTTGGGAAGCCAACCTAAACCAATATTTGTCTCCTCAGTTGGAATACTAGCTTCATTAGGGCTGAGAATATGTTTGTCTTATTCACCATTCTACCTCTAGTACTTAGCAATAGCATTAGGTCAGCACTCAAAAGATGCTGTGTAAATATTGGTTCTTATTTTCCCCTCTGACACATCTAGAGTTTGCCACTGATAACTGGTCCTATCACAGACAGTTTATTCTACCACCTTCAGGATGAGCTGCACACCTCTCCAGTACTTCTCTGAAGACAATGTGTGCTCATGGCATCACGCTCCATTATCTCTTAAATTGCATTGACACAAACTATAAGAAATCATGCACACATCCTTTAATATGTGCCCATGGATTTTACTAAGCTATTCCATTGCCAGAATCTGCTACCTCTCTCCATTATTGACCTTTTAAATTCGTCTCCTTCCTCATGCCCAGCGTTTGTCAACCTTTCACAGGGGTAGCCTAAGACCATCGGAAAACACATATTTTCGATGGTCTTAGGAACCGAGACACTGCTCCTCTATCCGTCTCCAGGCCCACATGCAGATACACCCACATACGAGTACCCGGCGACCCCTGTGAAAGGGTCATTCGACCCCCAAAGGGGTCGCGACCCACAGGTTGAGAACCACTGCTGTTGCCCTATGGCTTTTCTGAAAGATGTGGCATCACATAATACCACAGACATTATAACACAGTGGTTAAAAGATTCACGTTTTACAGTCAAATGGCTCCCACTTCAAATCCTAACTCTGCCATTGATTAAGTAGCTGACATTGGGGAAGTTACTCTGTTTCTATTAAATTTCCTTTTGTGTAAAATAGGGATGGTATGACCTATAGCACAGGATTATTTTGAAGATTTAATAATATATGTATAATAAATTATTCTAATTATATTGAGTAAGATACAACAGATAAAATATTAAAGGATATAGTTGAAGACACTGATGTCTGTCTCAGGAAATATATTGAAGACATTGACTGTCTGCCCCAGGCAATACACGTATATTTCTCTGGAAAATTATTGAACCATTCCAAGTTATATAAAACTATCCCTAAAATTACACTAAGATTATCTCCAATATATTCTTACTCAAATACATAACCTCTGATGGGTGACATTCCCCTCAGATTGCCAGTACCTTGAGAGGCTCCTGAATCTGGCCCTTTATAGTCCTCTCACTGGTACATACACCTGTTCCCAGGCCATAGTCAAGTTAATTGAGCTGAGCTGCAATACTATGTTTCACCAGGAGCGGCCGCTGTTCGACATTGCCCTACAGTGTAAGATATTTCACAACTGGAGCTCTGAGTCAATGCCCAGGGAATCCATTTTATAAATTGAAAATAGATTTATTGTGTTTATTTGGAGAGATGCCTTGCAGTATGGCTCTTGAGACATTCCACCAGGGAGGAGCAGGTTTGGGAATACTTAACAATCCAAATAGTGGTACATGGGACTCCGAGGAAGTATTCCTCCCCAAGCAGCATGCGCTGTGGTGCGTTTCCTTTCAGTTGTGACAATCTGCTGCAAACCAATTATACTCTGGGATTTGTAAAGCGCCAGAAGATTCCCTTGGAGGGAGTAATTATATTCCCTTTAACATACTACAGGGCAAACACTTTCTCTTAAAAATGCTGTATGTTGCCTGCCAAGTAGATTTACTTTACTGATGCTAAAGGAAAACCTTCAGAATCAAGGCAAAGCAAGGAATCTTGGTGGGACAAAAATATGAGGCCAGTAAAAGAGTAGAGACTGTCAAAAATGCCACGAAGCTGAGTAATATTGAGTGTCAAATATAATTAAATATAGTCACAGGATATGGAGTACAGCATAGGGCATAGAGTCAATGGAACTGTAACAGCTATATATGCTGTCAAAGGGGTAGTAGATTGGGGGAGGGGGATTATTACTTTGTGAGGGGTGGAAATGTCTATTACATTGTTTTCTACACCTGAAACAAATAAAAAATAAAGTTTACAAAATGCCATGGAGAATTATCAATCGGGGCAGAATTTTTGGCTCATCCAAAGAGACATGCATGGTGAGACGTTTAGAGCATCAATTTGGAGTCGGTTTTGTGTCTCACCATAATCACTGTGTTCCTTGGAGCATTATAATTCATCAGAGTAAGATTCGCTTTCCTCTTCTGAAAAGGGGGAATAATAATGCTTATCTAATAAGGTTATTCTGAGGATCATATTACAAAACATACCTAAAGTGTCCAGATCAGTAGATACTCCCAAACAATACCACATATCAGATGTTCTCACTGCTGACCCATATCCCCTTGGAATTCGCCGTTACCTATATAGATAATGGCTTCCTATGGACAGGATCCCAAGTTCTCTGCCTGGGGATTCTCTCAGCCCAGGTACATAGTGCAAGAAGGAAGGGCAGGAAGTCAGCGCTTTCAGGGAGAGACCTTGGCCGACCACTTGTCCCCTGTAGGAATCTGCTCACTGATTCTGCTCACTGATGATGAGCCCCACTTGTCCCTGTAGGAATCTGCTCACTGGCTTCTATCACTTCCCCATCTCACTTTCCTACTTCCTGATGGGAGCTTCCTGAGATTACCTCCAAAATGAATTCCTGGCATTCAAATTCTTGTTTCAGGATAGAGTCTGTCCTAAACGCTATACTCACAATGGAAACAGGCTTCATAATTTGGACAGTTAGGTTTAAAATAAAATGTTCAGTTCACTAACCAAGTCTTGTCTATTCAGCTTCCTTTCAACCCCTCTTCCGTCCCACAGCCATTGCCTCAGTGAAGGCTCTTCTCGCTTATTTATTCATTTGTGTCTGTGCTATAGTCTCTAACTGATCTCCATGCTTCTAGTACCTCTATCACCTAATCCACTGCTCACTTACTGCCAAAGTTACTACCCTAAAATGCAGTTCTGGTCATGTCACTGCCTTGCTTTTGTTTATTAAGACTTTAGTGGTGCTCAGTGCCTCCATGATTATGTGATCATTTTTATAACATGGTCTGTGAAACCCCTCAAAAGTTGGCTCCCACCGAACTTTCAGCCTCATGTCCAGTGATGGCTAAACACAGCCAATGCTCAGCCCACACAGAACAAGCCAGTGTCATTTCAAAGCCCTTTGACCTGCCGCATTTTGATGTGTTGAAATGTACATGTGATCTTCCCTGTCTGAAGAACCTCGTTCTTCCAGATCTGGTTCAAATGTCCCCTCTCCATGAAGATTTATCTCCAACTCACTGCGCAAGTGAGCCGTTCCCTCCTCTGGGTGCCCGCAGCAGCATCTGCACCCACTGACTCATTCATTCGTCCCACAAGGCATGTCCTACTATATTCCAAGCATGTGCTAAGCCCCGGGGAAACCATGCTGGATAAAAGCAGAAATAGCTCCTGATCACGTAAAGATCACACAGGAAAAGGAAACAGACATTAGCGGGTAATCATATGAAAGTTTCATGTAACACTGCCATGAGAGTTCACCATTAAGGATGCTGACCGACCCTGGGGGCTGGAAAGCCTTCCACAAGGAATGGGTGCTTGAGGTGAGAGTGGAGTAGAAGTCATCACCAGATGAAGGACATCTGTTCCAAGCCTAGGGACAACAGAAAGCAGGAGGGAACACAATATTCTTTGAGGAATAGAAGGTCAAGGTGTTTAAAGTGGAGAGGCACAGGGAGAACGGAGGGACAAGAGGCACTTACACCACTGGTTAGTCTTGTCTGTTTGTTGGCTGTGTCACCCCTGCCTCATGGTCCTAGAATGAGCTCCTCAAAAGTAAGGGCTGTGTGTCACTGAAAGGCACACCTACCACAACACTTAGCACAATGGCAACAAACAAAATTAATGTACCCACTTTATGGATCAGGAACTTGAGGCTCAGAAAGGTTGAGTGAGCTGCCCAAGATCCTTAGACTGGCAGTGGCTGCACAGTAATTAGAAATGTACACCTATTAAATATCATTCCTCAAATATGTCTTTTTAAAACTGGTGCAACTCAACTCCCACCCTCACCCCTCCAATCTTTTTTCTTTAGAAAACCGTTTTTCTATGAGCTCCTTTTCAAAAGGCTCAATTAAAAAAAATAATAATACTAATGCAAAAAGCCAGTTACTGGTGTGTGTGTGTGTGTGTGTGTGTGTGTGTGTGAGAGAGAGAGAGAGAGAGAGAGAGAGAGAGAGAGAGATTGATTGACTGACTGACGGGGATAAAGTGCACAGGATCTTTTCCTGGTACAGGGTTCTATTCTGGAACCTTCATAATTGCCCAAAACGGTACGGGTGGTGAGAATTAGCCATCACAAGACGCTCCTGGTGATGCCCGGAAAAGAGCATCCGCGCTGACCTGGGAGTCCGGAGGGAAAAGACTCTGGGTTTGGAGTCTTCAGGGCGGTGAGTGGGACCTCTAGCTTCCCGCTTCCCGAACCTCTCCGCCTTTCCAGCCAGGACCGGTGGTTTGGGAAACAGTCTAATTTCCCGACTATCCCGCCTGCTCCCTCAGACGCAGAAGGTGGATGAGGTGGCAACCTTGCAGAAGGTGGATGAGGTGGCAACCTTGTCTCGGGGAGGTATCCTCCAGGCCCAGACATTCATCTCTGTCCATTTCAAGGCGGCCAGCCTGCGCCATATATAACCAAGTACTACGCCCACAACGGAGGGCACAGCAGCCTCTCTGCGTGTTTTATTCGCATATCTTGGACAAATCTAGGCTCTGGGGCAGCGATCAAGAGCCTGATTTGCGACTGGTTCAGGAACTGGGGTTGAGACTTCGCTTGGCAAGGAAGAGAAGAGGGGCGTGGGCAAGGGCGCGGCTCTTGCGAGGATTACGGCAGAGGCGGTGGACCGCGGAGCCGCTCGCAGAGGCTGCAGCCATTGCACAACCGAGCATCTCACATTCAACAGGAGGAGCCCGCGGGAGAGGGACCCGAGCTCCCAGCACCGCACCTCACCGCAGCAGCCCGTGCGCCCCGCGGCCCCGCACGCCATGGCCAAAGAAGGCGTAGAAAAGGCAGAAGAGACGGAGCAAATGATCGAGAAGGAGGCAGGCAAAGAGCCAGCGGAGGGCGGCGGCGGCGGCTCGCACCGACTCGGGGACGCACAGGAGATGCGCGCCGTGGTGCTGGCGGGCTTCGGTGGGCTCAACAAACTGCGGGTCACCAGGAAGGCCATGCCTGAGCCGCAGGACGGCGAGCTCAAGATCCGCGTCAAAGCCTGGTCCAGTATCCGCACCTTTCTCGCTTTCCCCCTCTTTGCGCGCTCGGCACTCCCGGGGAGGGGGCGCCTCAGAGGGGACGCTGCCCGAGGTGCAGCCGCCACGGGTGCCCCCTTTCCTCACCCTGACCCAGGTCTCAGAGCCTCCCCGCTGCCCCCCACTGCTGATGTTGGGAGGATGCTGAGAGCTGGCCTTCCTTCCCCTGTCCACACACACACACCGGCCAGATCTAGGGGTGACCTGAGGAGACTGCCTTCTTGGGAGGAAAGGGGAGGGGTGGATAGTGGCGCCTAGCGCTCGGGGTCTGAAAGATTGCGCTGCGGGAGCAGTCTGTCGGGTAGCACAGCTCAACTGCCAGGATAAGGGGGTTGATAACATGGTTAAAAAATAACCGTTGGCTTACTGTGTACCGGCCATTGTTTTTTAGAGTTTTATGTGTGCGGACTGATTGAATACTTCCTGGGACCCAGTGAGTTAGGTACCATCGGTATCCCCACTTCCAGGTGAGGAAACCAGAGCTCAAAGTCAGTGAGTGATTTGCCCAAGATCACTCTGCTGCCACTAAGTGGCATGGCCGGGCTTTGACAATCCAGCTTTCTAACCTGTGTGAGGTGCGGATGGGCCTGGGGAGCGGGTGCAGGGCTGGGAAATGCGTCCTTCCCCCCGCTCCTGCACGCTCCCCTCCCTGTGGCCCGGTCTGGGCAAAGGCGCTGGGAGGCAGGAGGCAGGTACCACGGCTGCGCCCAGCCCTCCCTCTTCCCCACTAGTGGCGGGGGTGGGGGGGTGGAGGGGGTGCACGACAAAAAACGGATCCATCTCCGAACTGCTCTCGTCTGAAAGGAGCTCATCCATCTGAGCGCCCTTCTATTTCCCACTCCTCCCGCGGGAACTTCCTCAGACCCACAGAGAACTGTGATTTCCCCCTGGCGTGTTTCCTCTCTGCGGGCTGTCACTACATGGATCATATCCGCGAAGTTCTGGGGAGGGAAGGCTCACCCCAGAGGGTTCACTGGACATAGAGACTCTTGAGTTCTCTATGCAGCAGCTGTGAGAGGCTCCTAAGAGCAACTTGCTGTGAGCACCGCCCCCCAACAGACACTGCTCCCTAAAGCAGGAGCCCGCTTACCAGGTCCCACTTTAGAGCCTCAAGCCCAGAATCTGGGACCATGGAGACAAGAAAAATGCCAAGGAGACTGACTGCCTTCCCCTCCTGCGCAAGTTTCATTTGCCAGACTGGAAGGCAGCCGGGGAAAGCAGCAGAGGTGGGTCTCTGGCTCACTCTGCATACAGGAGGTCCTCATGCCTGTCTCTAAACATGACTTGGGCCTTTCTTTAGGGAATTCGGGGTAAGGGAAGAGGCTTTTGCAAACTGGGGCTCCTATACAGTTCTACTTTGTTAACTCTTGCTGAGCCAAGCTGATTGATCCCAGAAGGCAGAGCTTACACGTCTGCCCCTTGCGCGGATACATCCCCAATGCCCAGCACAGTGCATCCTAAATAAGTTATCACTGAATGAATAAGTTATTGCTGAATGGATGAACTGAGGAAAGACGCTTGGAGGAGGATTGTTCCATCATTTTTTTTTCATTTGCTGTTGGACGAATGCTGCCTAGTAAAACTAAAACCATGTATTGATAATTCTCCTTCCTTAACCACCAATTTAAATATATATATTGTTTGTTTGTTTGTTTGTTTGTTTTTTTGTAGAGGGCAGTGTTACTGGCCCTCACATGTGGGATCTGAACCAGGGCCCTCTGGTGTTCCAAGCCAGCTCTTAACCATCGCGCCACTCGGCCGGCCCTAAAATATATTTTTGAATATGTGTGTGTGTGTGTGTGTGTGTGTGTGTGTGTATGGTGTCGGAAAAGTCATGACGCATTTTTGCAATGAAAAACAGAAAAAATACGTCATGACTTTTCCGACAACCCAATATATATATACATCTATATGTAATTTATGACCCATCATTGAAATTCAGGACTGGGGTGTAGGAGTCTATCAGAGTATATATTCAGAGAATGAAAATGTTGAAACTATTTTTTAAAGAAAAGAGCATCATCTGCAGTGTAAGTAGGCCTGAGTTCTCTAGCCTTATGCTAAGTGCATAAATACTGATTGGAACTGAAGCATTTTGAAATAATAAATGTCAACATGAAGGCCAGGGGATTGATTTTCAAAGCCAGACACACAAGCCTGTTCTTAATTGGAACTGTATGCGTGTGTGTACACACACACACACACACACACACACACACACACACACACACACTATGGAATCACTGCAGATCCCCCCCACCCCCACCCCACCATGTTCAGAAAGCCAACAAGGCTTGGGGGGTGGGGGTATTTTGAATACAATGTTGCAAAGGGCCCAGATTTATTTTCATTCCCCCAAGCTGGAAGCAGAGTTAATGGGTTTTGCAAGGTGGGGCTGGGATAGGTTTGTGAAGCTTGCCCCTGGGCCCTCCTCCTCCCCTGGGCTGGGATTGGCTAGCCAAAAATGTCCATTGATTGTAAGTGTAGCTCTGAGAGACAGGATGACTCATTCTGTATTTTCATGAATCAGTTGATGGCCTTGTGGATGAAGGTCCCCCTTTTATCTGTTCTGGATTTTTAATGGAAACCTTTTATCATCAAATAGCATATGATTCTTGCTTGGGAATAAAGCATAGTCCAGCTGAACTGGTATTATTCAGGCCTGGGAGGAAGGTCCAAGTTGGTTACTCTGTGAATTTTATGGAAATGGAAGAGGCAGGGAAAGATATATTTGATCTCATTCACACCCTCTCATGTATGGGCCAATGAGACAGGTATTATGGTAGAGCAAACTGAGGCTTGGAGATGTTGAGTAATCTGCCAAAAGCATCACACAGATAGTAAGTAGAGTTAGGGTCTGAATCCTGGTCTGTCTCTCCTTAAGGATCTATTGTTATCCTTTTATTCTATTTTGTCTCCCTTCATGGAAAAGGTGGAAGAAATGTGATTTCCCCCTCTAGGCCTTTGGCATGTAAGCTTGCTTTCCTTCCTCTCTTGAATGAATATCGCTCCTTTGATCATTTTATGTCTGGCTTAAGGGAACACTCTGTGGATCTTTCCAGAGTAATATGGCTTTCCCCCTAAAGTGGAGACATCATGGTCAAATGCAGCTCAAAAAGAACCACCTCAGGGAGGACAAGGTGGGAGGATAGCAGAGTCTTCTACGTTGTTACAAGAACATCAGCTTTGATGCGGAACCCACTTCATCAACCATTCACTGAACACGCCATTTACACAGCAAGCGATTTAAGTGGTGGTGTGTGGCCTTTGGAGAAACACGGGCCTGGATGGAAGCCCACACCCACAACTGTCTGTCTATCTGTGTAACCTCAGTGGACAGCTCTCTTACCTCCTTCAGGCTTTCCATGCCTCAACTGCAAAATGGGGATAATAAGATGAACCTCACAGTGCTGAGAGGATCAGATGCAAAAAAGAGACTGGCCCACTGTCAGCGCTAAATAAGCAGTAGCTACTGTTATAACTGTTACCTTTGTTGTCACATCTATGGCTATATGACATACTTCGTGGCAGCTTGATAACTGGGAAGCCATCATTTTAATCATGTATATTATTAGTCAATAATGTCATGTCACACCTGCTTAATGATTAAGAATAAGACCTTCCTAGACAGGAGTCCCAGCTCTGCCACTTGCTAACTGGATGTCTTAGGTCTGGTCCCTGGTAGCAGAGCCTGAGACATGGATGCTTTTTTAATTGGTTGCTTGAGGGTGCTTTCAGAAGAAGGGGAGCAAGGAAGGTGGCAGAGGAGAGGGGAAGAAGCCCAGTAAGGACTCGGTTTCAGCCGCATCCCCCCAGGCGTCGTCCTGGGGCATGAACTGTACCAGAGTCAATCTGACCTTGAAGCAATGGGGGAAGCCCTTTGTGTGTGTCCCGCCCCCCCCCCACCTTCATCAGTTAGTTATGGGCTGTGGCTACTTCCTCAGTAGGGGCATGGAGTCTTTCCAGCAGAGGTGGCTTCTGTTTGACTGAAGCAGGGAAGTGGGGAAGGGGACTTCTCTGAGCCAGGGGCAGTCAGCACGCCCAGCAGCTGGGGGATGGGTGTACTGCCTAGTCAAAGGAATGGGGTGAGGCACAAATCTCTGCACAAGTTGACATTGAACATGTTGCTTACTCTTCTAAACTTCAGTTTCTTGGTCTATAAAAGGGAGCTAATAGTAGCACCTCCCTTTCTAGTGTGGTAATGGAGTTTAAATGAGATAGAGTACATAAAGACTTTCCTTTTTTTTCCACCAAAAGAACTGTTTATTCGGGACATAAAGACCTTTCTGATGATGCCTGACACATAGCAAGTGGTCAATAAATGATAGCTATTATTACTTAAACTAACATTTTTGGTTTCCATAGATTCTATAGTTTATTATTCAAACTGGAGCTCTTTTGAAAGGGACACTAAAGTGATTACTCTGGGACAGCAGGAGCAAACTGGAACTGTTGTAGCTAAACCAGGTGTGTGGCCCCCCAAACTGATAAGGATCAGATCTATGCCTTTGCTGTCGGCTGTCTTATCACAGTGGAGCTTCTCTTGGGCAGGAACTGGTAGGAGATGAAGCCGAGGGTCTCCGGGTGGGGTTGCAGGAATGTATTGTGTTGTCAGAAAAGTCATGATATATTTTTTTGTTTTTTTGTTGCAAAAATGCATCATGACTTTTCCAACAACCCAATATTTAATTTAGGTGGCCATTGACAAGCCTTGTCTGGTTTGTGGCTCAAACTGGCTTGTGGTAGAAAGGCACTAATGGATTGGGGACATTTATTCTCCCGGACGGATTTACAGTGAGAGGCTGCATGAAGCTGCTGGAATGAGACCAATCAAATGAAAAATGGCTCCAGCCAGTCATGGCTCCATTGGCTGATCTGAAAATGGGCCGAGGGCAGGCCATACTAGAGGAAAGCCAACAGATTGATGGGATCCTATAAATCATGAGAGTAAAGTGTATTGGAGAGA